AATTTGTGCATGTGGAAAAGCAAGAACCGATGGCAAACGGCGCGGGTTTAGTGCCCGCGGCTGGCGGCAGTTTCGAAGTCGTCGTCCAATCGCCAACAGACCAGAGTTCCTGGTTTCTTGCGGCAGTGCCCCTCGTTTGGGTATGGTTACAATGCCCAGCATCTGACGATCTCCAAATCCCCGCCGAGCAACCGCGATTGGAGCCAGCAGTGTGCCATCAGTTTCCCCGCAGGCCGAAGGGCTGAAGGGGCCGAAGATGGAGATTGGATGGAAAGATCCGTCGGACTGCAAGCTGACAGTCGCTCGAACAGAAGATAAAGTGAGACGAATAAACAGAGGTAATTCGAGTTGATAGATGACAAAAGATTCTCAGATGCAGACGGCAACCAGGCACTCGAGTTTCGTTGGAGCCATCCTACTCTGGGATCGATGAGGGGTCTTGCGGCACATGGTGAAAAAACACAGCGATTGCCTGCTAAAATGCCCCGCTTTCGATGGCAGGAACGCCAGGAGTAATTTCCTTGCTCGGGGTGCGACGCCGCCGCAACTGAAGGAATCAAACTATCACAGCCCAAGACCCAAGTGTTTGCTGGTTGAATTTTTGATCGCTTGTGTTCGGGACCATCGGGGTCCGGATCTGCTCATGTTGGTTTGGTTGTTCTGGAGCAAGAGCCAACGCTGCCGGGCATCAAATAATTTCCAGGTCCATGCCCCACATCCCCGCCCAGCAAGGAAAGAGCCAAGCCGTGGGGTCCAAGATGATCAGACCCAGAACTCGTCAGCAATTTAGCACACAACGGCAAGAGCCTTTTCTCGGCGGGATTCGGCTTGTTGGGGTCATCTGAATGGGAAATGCTGACTTCATTTCGTTTCATGAGCAAAAATTTCTCATCAAAGATTCGATTCCTGTTGGAAGAGGTTTTGTCATGTAGGTAATTACCCTAACCCACGTGTTCGAGCTGTCCCCGAATGGCCCCACCACATTCTCCAAACATCGTCATTGCCCAGCTGAAGAACCGCCCATCCCAAACAACGCGCACCGGGAGTTATCATTCGCGATTTGGCAGTCGTTCAATATCATCATGGTGCTCTGCTAACATTTGACCCCACGATGCACTGTTCTCAATAGCGCGATTGGTAAGCCGCCACAACTGCACTCGCAAAAGGATTTCCAACATGGGACATGATCCACCTGGAAGCTCAACCTCCTCTTGGCATGGGGACAGCCACCAACACCACCGCGGTGGCATTAAGATAATAAACAAATCAATGACCTCTGGTCTGAGAATCACCACCATAATCTCAGCCGCCTTGTCATTTTTAATCTTCTTGTTCATCGTTTTTCCTCAACATGATTCACTGTTTCCGTTGCCACGCTCGAATCTTGCAGACGACCCATTCGGTCCCCTCAGGTTCCATGAAGATGGTGCATTCCACATATCCATCTTGGGAGATCTTCACTTTGGAGAAAGTAAGTTTTTATTTTGTAATCAAGTCCTTAATTCTCATGACGAATAACTCTTCAATCCCTCAGATGCCTGGGAACCCTGGGGTCCACAGCAAGACCTGGCGTCCATAAAAGTGATTGAAACCGTACTCGACGCTGAACCCTCAACTTCCCTCGTCGTCCTCAACGGGGACCTCATCACCGGTGAAAACACCTTTCTCGAAAATAGCACCCACTATCTCGACCGAATCGTCTCTCCCATAATCCAACGCAACCTCACCTGGGCATCCACCTACGGAAACCACGACAGCGACTTCAACCTCTCCAGCTCTGCCCTTTTCTCCCGAGAGAAGCGCTACCGAAACTCCCGTACTGCCCAAATGGTCTCCTCCCCCAAGGAAGAAGCAGGCATAACCAATTACTTTCTCCCGGTCTACCCCTCTTCTGGCCCCGCTGACATTCCCCTCTTGATGCTTTACTTTTTTGACAGCCGCGGAGGGTTCTCCTTCCAGGATAGAACAGGTTTACAGAACTGGGTTCATCCCACCGTCGTGGAGTGGTTTAGGCGCACTTCCTCTTCATACTCTCACGTCCCATCCCTCGCGTTTGTTCACATCCCGCCCAACGCTACTCTCGCCCTTCAGGATGAAGGCATCCATCCCCACCGCCATCCAGGCATCAATCAAGATGTTCCAATCTCTCAGCAAGGTCAGGGGTGGTGTCCGGACGGAACTGAAGGCTGTGCCTATGGCCGACAGGATGTACCCTTCATGGAAGCTCTGGCGGAGACGCGTGGGTTGATGGCTGTGTTCTTTGGGCATGATCATGGAGATACATGGTGTAAGAAGTGGGCCAATGGGGTAAATCTGTGCTTTGGCCAGCATACAGGCTACGGAGGCTATGGGCGTTGGGTCAGGGGGGCTCGGCAGATAGCCGTCTCAGTTGATGGGTTGACAGAAAGAGCAATTGACACCTGGATAAGGCTGGAAACAGGTAAGGTGGTGGGGAAGGTGAGGCTGAATGATAGTTATGGAGGGGACTGGTATGAGAAAGTCGAGGACGAGAGGACATGTTTGGACTGTCATCAATGATGAATCCCAGATATGTGCCTCCTATCATTCTCTGACTTTCGCTGCGTTGAGATATCTTTCGAGCGCACTGACCCAGAGATGCACAAAAAATAGACCTGTCTCGTTCTCTTGTCTCCGAAGCCAGGGTTCTATCTCGTAGCATACACCAAAGTTGTCAACTTTGTTCACCAAATAAGCATTTACAGCGGAAATACTCGCCTCGCCGTGACTTTCACACCCAAAACCCCTGACCCTACAGACCAAACATCGTCGTCGTTTGGAACCATGAACCTACAATCCAAAGCCACAAAGACCCTAGATAGATCACATCTGTGAACAAACAGAAGATATAACCACCCCAACAGCCACTAAAGCCTTCTTCTTGGACAACTTCCTTGGCGACTACTCAACTTGCTGGCCCTCCATAGCATCTCGCGCAGGCTCTTGGGCCTTATTCTCTTCGATAACCTCCCGTGAAACCGTCACAGCCTCCATGACTCCGCCGTCAGGCTTGCGCGCGACGAGATGTCCACAAGCTTCGCAATAATGGTTCAGATCGGAGAAGCACCGGCAGATGAACGGGACGAAGAAGCCGAAAACACAACCGATCACGCAACAGACTAGTCCTGCCTTGCTATATCACAGTCTCTCTGTTAGCGATGCCAGCACGGCAAGTTGTTGCACATTTGGATAACACACAAGGTATTATCCGTGACTTTGTGCTCAACTCTAGTTTGCTGGCGCGTCTTGCAGTAAGGACAAAGAACATGCTGCGAGAAACCGCGGAGGTCTCCCAACGCGACCATGTCCTCATGCTTGTCGGTTGGGGAGCTTGTGGGCTGCTTCTCGACCGAAGGTTGGGCTGTGACAAGCTGAGGTGCAGCTGCTTTGCGCTCCGGCTGTTTATCGAGTGGAGCTGGCTCTATTGCCAGAGAATCGACTGAACGACGTGCGGCGGCAGTCATGTTGATGAGGTTATTCTGAAACAGTATACCGAACAGTTGTGGTGGTCGTTGCTCTCTCTCGTCTGAAGTTTTTCCAAAATTGTCTGATGATGGCGGTGTGTGGTCTGAGAATTGCGACCGAAGTCGGGTATAATAGCACGTTCCTTCCTTCAAGAGCAGCCATGATGGGTGTCAGTCTCATCGCTCCTTCCTCAGCATCCTCGACATCGATCACACCATTTCTGCGGCCCCACAGTGCAACATCTGGACAACTGGACATCTGAACGATAATGTGCTAACCGCCGTTCTTGGGCCCCCTGATTGGAGTTTCTAAGGTACCCTCCCAGCATCTTTCGGGACTAAGATCCACTCTCCCAGAGACAGATGAGACAGCTCACATCAGCCAACCTTCAAGCTGATCATAAAAGAAGGTTGACACAAAGGAACAGGACATCCCCCGTGAATGAATTGTTCATATGATGCCTTGTTCATGTTCTTTGTCCAAATCCTCACAAAGCCATTCATACCCTCAACATCCCAATTAAACATCCACCATGTTCTCCCCAAAACCATCATCCAATCTCATATTTAATCCTCCATGATCCCATGCCTTCCCAAATCCTCAACCATCTCGACAGACTCCAGCCCAGCTTCCAAAAATGCGCAACACCACCGTCACTCACTTCTACTGCTCCTGCCCCCAGCGGGACCAGTCCCTCTGCCCCCACCACCTCTACCTCCGCACCTCTCCCACTCCAATCTCTTCTACACGTCCAGAACCCACCGGCTTTTACCTTCGTCGGCCCCGCGACTTTCAACGTCACGTTTTCTGGGAACCCCTTTCAGTTCAGGAGAGAGAGAAGTGCGCTTCGGTCCAAGAAGACCCGGAGAGTCGCTGTGCCAAAGAAAAGGTGTCAATCAAGAAGATCAGAGGGTTATGCGGGTGGTGTGCTAATTCGCACGGAGCCGGAAGTGGAACTCAAACTCCAAATTCGGAAGCTGAAGAAAACTCGGAAAAGGAAAATACCGCCGAGATAACTTTTGGCATGGAGGACCTCCTCAATGCTGAAGATACCTCATCTGTCGATATTACCTCAAGTGAGACCTCCTCAAACTCAGGCTACGAAGCAGACGACGACGAGTCCTACACAGAACCTCCACTGAGCCCAAAGTAAAAAAGAAAGATTTTTTCATTTTTTTTTCTTTCATTTTTCACATTAATCTAAATCCATATAAACAAGAAACATCAGTTTTACATTATAAAAGCATTCTCTCATACTTCCCCCTCTTCCCTGTTGCCCGCCCAATTTAATTTTTGCCAACCAATGTCTTGCCACCGACACACCCGACGTTTAATTTACCGTCAAGTTTGTCTACCAATACGTACTGTACGTACCTACCTATACTGGTAATTAGATATATCCCGACATCGACATAGATACATACCTTACACATGCGATCAACAAAAAATAAAGCAAAAAGGAGGCAAAAAGTAGGCAAAACGTAAACGGAAACCCCCAACGGTGTAACAGACAGTCCTGCGCGATCCGAGATTCGAACTCGGGTCTCTCGCTATCTCAAGACGAACAGAAGATGGGAAGCGAAAATTCTAACCACTGAACTAACCGCGCGGTTTTGGACTTGATTTCATTTGATGACGTTCGGACGACGTATTATCGGGGTAGGTAGCATACTGCTCGGTCCCGGTGCCGGGAATCTGCAAGTTGGGCTCCATAACTGTGAACCTTGAGCCAATTGAGAGGAGTAAAGAACCTGGGAAAAGAGAAGGGAAGTACGACAAATAGATGATAGACACGGGATAGGATAAAGCAGAATGTTGCCCAAGGGCTTAGTCCGGGTTAATATTCAAGATGCCAAGCATGAATGTGTTGATAATGCAGGGGTTGAAGAAAAGTGGGACCAAAACAAACACAAGCACACCACCAGGGACAACTGACACACGACATGCACCTCAGCAGATGAGCGGGCAACGAGATAGCTAATAATCTTCAACAGTAGCATTACCAATTTGCTATTACTGTAATTTTCCACCCCGCCTTCCCTGCTAGAAGCCGTCGTGGAAGACCAACAACGGAACGCTCCCAATAAAGTGCCCAAATAAATGTGAAAAGGGCGACAATGTTCCACCTCCCATACATGTGATATCATGCGAGGAACAGAAAAACATAAAACGTCGAGGCTGTAAGAAGAGTTACAAAGAGAAAGAGGGTATGACTCATGTATCCCAACGCCGTGAAAATGCAGTCAAATCATGCAAACCTGACAGGACCGATTTGCTGGCGTCAACATGCCCCGAGTAACCCGTAAAAATGCGGCAAGCTATAACCGTCAAGGAGAATATGGTGGTGGTGGAGGTCGGCGATAATTCGAGAGAGAGACCGTACGAGTACCGCGGCTGTCCTACTGTGGCCTGCTGGCAGCCTTGGCCTGTGCGTGGACTTGGTTAGCAGATCTAATGCAGAAACGAGAAGAAAACTCGACATACCTTCATCTGCTCAATACGAGCCTTCAATTGGCTGGTCACCTCGGCAGCGCGTTTCCAGCTCTCCATGCCCGAAGAAGGGCCTGCGTTTGTTGGCGTATCGCCAAGCCTGCTGCTTCCTGTGCCGGCGCGATTACTGGCGCGACTATCCGACCTGCTGCCTGCCCTGTCGTTGTAGGCGGAGTAACCAAGACCACCGCCAGCCCTTTCGGTTCCCTGAACCTCCCTCTCATCCACGGGAGCTTCCCGTCTGAACCCTCGTGCGGGACTGCCTCGGCCGCTGCTCGCTGCGCTGTCAGCATACCGGACATCGGAGCTAATCTTATTGCGCGGGTGAGGCATGCTGTCGCCGTTTTCCTTCTCCTCGCTGAGCGTGCTTGCAAAGCTCATACGGTTCCTAGTCGCACTTGGAGGCATAACAGAATCACGATAGATGCCGGCGTCGTCGTGGGTCGGGCTTAGAGTCCGGTAGCCAAGGTTCGGCGAGCTTGGGCTGGCAGCTTCGTTTTGCAGAGCCTCGATAGTGGCCTCAGCCTTCCTCAGGCCACGCGTGACCCGTTCAAGTTCGCGTCGCAAACGGTCGTTGGTTTGTTCGGCTGCTTCGGCGTCGCTCCTTGCTCTAACCAACTGTGTCTCCTTGGCTTTGATAGAAAGCACATCCCTGGTATGATCTTCGATCAACTGTGCATTTTGGTTCTTGAGCTCCTGAATCTCTGACGCCAACTTGGACCGGTCGTGTCGTGCATCATCGAGCTGCTTCAACAAGCGTTCATTGGCCATACGAAGTTCCTCAAGTTCTGCACGCTCCATATGGGTGAAACCAGATGGCGGAGTCGGGGATGGCGGTGCGACAGGCATCGCAGGTGCGGCAGGTTTGGCGAGCGAACGGCCGGCAAGACCACCACGTCCGAGACCAACCCGAGCAGCAGGCTTTGGAGGAGGGGAAGCTGGTGGCTCCTCCTCAAATTCAAATTCAGGGGTTGGTGCGCGAGGTGCGGCAACAGGACGCTTGGGTGAAGCAGCACCAGGAGGACCAAGGGCCCGCTTCTGTGGCGCCTTGAGCCCACCAAGCCCCGGCTTAGCCATACCAAGCTTGGGGCGAGCGGCTGGTTGTGGTGCAAGAGGTGGTGAGGGTTCTGGAGGCGGTGCGGCAGCAGCAGGGGCTGCCTTTTTGAGACCCGCAGGAGCCTTCCTGGCGGCAGGCTTCTTGGCACCGGCGGGTGGCGCACGGGCAGCCGGTGCTGGCGGCGGCGGCTTCGGTTTTTCCTTGGCCTTGACCTCGGCCGTCTCAAAGAACTCGTTTACCTTGGTCTTGCGGATGTCGTCGAGGCCCTCAAGGTGGGGCTTCATCGCTCTCTCGCCAATAATCTTCATAACAGTACCCAGGATTTCAGCACCACCAGATCGAAGAACCTCGGTGCTTTCAGACAAGAGTTTCTTGCCCGAGTCGACAATAGTCTGGATTTCCTGTTTGCTAGGCACATCTCTTGTTGTGCGTAAACACCGGACCAGGAATTTCATGGTCCCTTCTTTGATCTGAGGATTCTTGTGGACAAGGTTTGTGGTGATATCCTCAAGGCATTCGGTTAGATCGGTTGTCAGAAACACGGCATCCAGGGCTGCACCGAGAGCATCCGCAACTGTCTGCTTCTTCTCCTTCAATCTCTCCATAATCGGGCCCATCACAGTAGATCGGTGCTTGGCGTACCCCTTTCGCAACCCCTTGGCGAGCAGCTCGATGCATTGAGCTGCCTGTGTGACAACCGCAATGTTGGCATCCTTCATGCACTTGGCCAAGCTGCGGTTCATCTCGTTGAAGTCTCCATCCTTGATTCTTGGCACATTGACAATGGTGTAGAGCGCTTCCAATGCTTCCTTTCTCTCTTTCCATTTGGACGAACCAAGGTTATCGTAAAAGTCTTTTGGAACTTTACTGAGAATGTCTTGTGGCTCTGCCAGATCAAAGGCGTCGATTTCGGCTGGTTCCTCGTCTTCGCCTCCATCCTCTGCATACTCGTCGCCGTCACCAGCAGCTGGAGCGCGTTCCTTCGCAGCTTGCTGTGATCTGAGAAGCCGCTCCTGTTTGGCAGGGCCTTCCGCCTTGATTTTCTCAAATTGCGCCTCGAGATCGGTTTGTTGCGTTGGCTTGAGGTCGCCCCAGAACATTGGCTTCATCGCTTCGCGCAACCATCGGTAAAACTCCACGGCCAGGTTGGTGGCCTCGGCTCGCACATTCTTGTCGGCATGTCCAAACGCTTTCGGAAGAATTTTGAGAACCGGTTTCGGATTCGCCGTCTTGCAGCCATAGTTGTGGTAGATCTGCGTCAAGGCGTTCAGTGCTGCTGCGACAACTTTGGGTTGCTTGTTAGACAGCACTGGCAGGATCTCTTCGATTACGGGATCTGCAACATCCAATTCGATAAACAGAAGCAAGGCTTCTATGGACGATGCCTTAGTTGCTGCTCTTGTCGAGGAAAGGCCCTTCTCACAAATTGGCGTGATCGCATGCTGCCGTGCTCGTACGGCTCCTTCCCGCCCTCCATACTTTAGGAATGCGCAGAGGGCGGCGAGGCCATCTTGCTGTGCAGCTACGTTGGAATCCGCCGCTGCGGTTTTCCACAAGCTCGGATCTTGGACGAATGGTCGAAACGCTGGGTCATATTCGTCGGGCGTCTTTTCGAATTGCTGAGCGGCCGCTTCGTATGCTCCCTTTCGTACTTTCCAGTTCTGATATTTTGCTAGTGAGCTTCATTTTCCCCGCAACGCTCCCAATTTCGATAATCCATACCTTGTGCACCCAGCGATCCACAAGTGGGAGAGAGCTAAAGTCCTCTTCTTCCGCCATGTTGAGCTGCTCGTTCGGGGGTATATAAACAGGTTCTGACGGAACAAGAATAGGTTCTGACGGAACAAGAATTGGCTCCGGCAAATTCTGGAACGGTTTATGGTCCTCGGTTCGGGTGGAGGTGTTGGATGACCTTTTCGACTGGCGCTTCTTTCGCTTCTTTGGACCTAAAGTTGAAGTGCGCTTCATTAGCTTTTGTAGCCAACGCGGCTTCCAGCGGGCCTTCATCATGGGCTAAGGAATGCGCAACTCGGAGAAAGTGGTGCGCGTCCAGCTTGTCGCTTCTCCTGTGGTCGTCGTGGAGAGGTTCGGGGGCCGGGGAGAAGGAGACCTACGAGCAAGTGAAGCAACAAAGGTTGCGAATCTCTTTTTTGGCGTTTGTCGGTTTGGGAATGCAGATACAGTGCCTGATTGGTCTTGCTCGGAACCTGCGCGGGGTGTACCTTCCGCAAAAGTTTAGAATTAGGGGCGGTGTCTGTGATGTTGAGCAATTATCGCCGCGGCGACTGTGGTTTTTGTTGATGTTATTCTTTCCGCCCAAGATTTCTCACTCCAGTCACTGCAAGAACTGCTTTTGGCGGCGTGGAAAGCGTCTGGGGGTCGTGGCCCTGGGCCCCTTGTCAATCAAAAGCTTGGCATATAGCGGGACAAATGACAGTGGACCGATTGCCCTGTTCCTGGACTGCTCAGGTGCCCTAGTTTTAAGGTCCCAGGGACCGGAACTGGGCTTAAACCCACCTGAAAAATTGGACAAGAATTTAGCTTAAATTTGGTTCCTTCCTTCTACTCTGTCCTGCTGGTCGCGTGATTTGTGAATGTTGTGCATCATGTGCATGTATTTGTACGTATGGTACAAGGTGCAGCAAAAAAAAGGAGCAGACTGCGACCGCGGGGACATGGCATGTGGATTATGGGACCCTTTTTCTGCCCAACGCGATTCGGCCAACTGTTGACATGGGCCGTTTTGGGTTTGGTCCGTGCATTCATTGCTGGAGAAACCCAAGTCACCCAACCACAGTGTGGCACATGTGATGTCACTGCATTTCTGGGGGCTTTTCGGCTGTCAGTGGCTGCCAGCTCTGGAGCTGACAGCTGTCGTCTTTCCCGGACAGCTCCCCTCGCTGGCAGTTCTCAGCAATTCAATTTGTTGGAACTTGGAGCGAGGTTCGAGTTTCAAAAGTGAGGTGGTCTTTTTCTGCCCCGCTACTTGAAATCCCAAAAATTATCATGACCCTGATGGCTGCCATTTCTCCCGACCCGCCCAGAATTCCCATTCCCACCAG